TATATGATGTTTTCTTTATGATTTTACAGCGATTTTGCTGTTAAAATCGTCATTGAAGCCCAATATTCTTCGCTCAAAAACTAATCATACGATCCGTATCCGAAACTTTTGTTTGTGCACCTTCTCCAAGACAATGGCTAGAAAAGCTATATCGAGTACGTTTTTTCTAACCCTAATGAAATTTTGGTTTAATTATATTCTATGTTTGTTTTTTGGTTATTTACTATTTTACAGTCCTAAACCCCTAGATCGCGTGCAAAGATCATCAAGGACTAAGGAAAAAGTTTCGAGTATGTATCTTTTCTTTCTATGATGTATTATTACTCTGCATGTTGTTTTCTAATTTCAATAATTTTTACAACCACAGTAACTTAAGGGTTTTTTTTCATTTTCTGCAATGTTGGTGATTCGAAAAGTAAAAATATATTTCTTCTTTCTATAGTTTATTATGTCTAATCTTATGTTTCTTTTCGGTGGATATTGTTGCATTTATGTATTTTTATGCTACATTACTGCCACTGACAGTAAAGTTGCATTCATTAGTGTGATCTCGTACATTAGGGTAATTTTGTATGTCTAGATAGTCCACTAATTGCCAGCCATTGACAGTAAAAAGAGGCAATGTATTTTCCAATTGCCTCGTATGTTGCGTTTTGTACTATTACTCTGCCACTAGCAGTAATATTTCATCCATTGTGTAGTTATGTTGTATTGCTACCACTGACAGTAAAATTGCATTCATTAGTGTGCTCTCGTACATTAGGGTAATTTTGTATGTCTAGATAATCCACTAATTGCTTGCCATTGACAGTAAAAATAGGCACTACGAATCTCATCTTGTTACATTAAAATTTCAATTGACACCATTTCTTTTTCACCCCCTCATCATCTGAACAATCAAAAGAGCCAAGGACTAAGATCATCCAAAAGAAAAGGGAAGGTCCACAATACAGATCAAGTACTATCCGACTGGTCAACTTTTGCACAGACATGGATCTAACTAATCAACACGTAACGTCTTTGAGGAGAACACCATTTGGATAGTTCTGCACACCTATCATTACAAATAGAATTCCACTCGTATCTATTCGAAAGTTCGACTTCCTCATACAAAGAATTTTGAAGACGTACAACCATGAAAATAAAGGCCTTGTTATTGGCAAAAAGGTATTGATAATCAAGACTAGAGAATGTAAACTCATAATTTGGCTTGAGGAATGGAGTATCCAAAATGACAATAGCTGAAGGTACAAAAATCGCTAGGCCAGAAACACCATTTGTTACCAAAAGATTCAACGATCTTCAAACTGTCAATATTGGAGATCTAAAGCGAGTGTTGCTTCAAATTCAAGACGAAGATAGTGATGAGCAGTTGACGATATTACAAGCATATTAATCCTTAATCACATGACAAATTTCTTCTTCTCTACTAATGGGCAATTAGTTAATTGGTCATTTTCTAGTATGTGGAAGATCTGGACAAGATCAATGACTACATTTGGGCGGTGAAAATTGTCAAGTTCTTCATGAAGTCAGTTTGGAAAGTAACACAAAAGCAGTGAAATCACCAACATAATCTAGTTGTACATGGATGCACTAGCATGTTACTAGTATGTAAAATAAAAAATTCAAAATTTAAAAACCCATTTTTTTTTATATTACTAATTAATTTCTTCTTGTTTACAGTACTGGTTTCTTGAGCGGTCATCAGCAATTGATCCATAAAAAAATGAAAGGTTTCCAAGATATCGAAAATGGAACTTGAAAGATGTTTGTCGCAAAGCCAACAAAATTTCGATAAAGCATTTAGAACCAGACCAGATAAAAAGAAAACCATAACATTATTCTGTATTAACATACCATGTAAGATAGTAAAAACATTATTTCACTGTCAGTGACGGTGTAGTTGACATTGATTTAATAAAAAATACTATTTCTCTGCCAGTGATAGTAATATAAAACAATGTTAGTGTATCATTACAGGTTTCAGTTAAAACGTTGGCACCAATAGATTCCGAAGCTACTGCTCTGGGACAACTTGAAGATGAAGAAGATGACGTTGATGACATTGAGGATAGTGAAGTTGGTGACGAGCAACAAGAACAACCAGTTGGGAAACAGAACGCAAACAAAAGGAAGAGAATAACTAAATGAGTTTTACCCCATAAGAGCGATGAATCTGATTCAAAGAGAAAAATCAAGGGCAAAAAGAAGTTAGTCGATCAAACATAAAACAATTCCTCTGGTTAAGGAGAAGACAATCATTGTGGTGATAATGAAAAGGCAAATATCGGACGATTGGATACATTGGCAACAACTGTAGATGTTTCTAAAATGCCCAACTCACCGTCAAACAATGAAAAAAAGTCACATGGTAGAACAGATGTAGATCCCGACAATGACATCACACAATTTTCTTCTGAGTCATCGTCAACATGGATCGCCTTCGAGTGTACAAGAACAGACTTAAAATATTAACAGCAGAATTGTACAACTTGAATCCGAGAAAACAAGCTTACAGAAAGAGGTCACAGATCTGCAAAGTGTAATTGCAAAAATTAAATATGAAAACGCGACTCTCATTTATAAAGTAAGCACTTTCACGATTGATCTTTCGGATAAGTTTTTTCAATCCCGTGCATCGCACCGATAAAGTTACTAGTTATGAGAAAACAAGGGTTGTCCCTTACATGAATTTCCAAAATACGAGGTTTGCTAATTTTTCCTTAAATTTTATTTGCATAATGAAATTGAGTGTGTACATAATTTATGGTGTTGTTGAAATGGTCAATGATATGAGACCTCTTACTTGGTCACTTGTGTCAATATCCAAACTGAAATGCTATTCATAGTGCAACTTTTACCGCCTTTCTGTGCGATTTATTTCATTTGTAACTTTTCTTAAAAAAAACTCAAATTCGCCCGCTATTTCGTGTGTTATATTACGAAATTCACTCAAGAATTTCGTGTATTTTTACACGAAATGTACGTGTTTATTATTATAGAACATGAAGGACGAAACTGTTGGATTGAAAAAATTCTCCTCTTTCGTGGCATAAAACACGAGATTACACATTATATTTCGTGGAATTTTCCACAAAATTAAACCTTATAATTCGTGGATTTTTCCACAAAATATAAGGTAATGTTTCGTAAAATTTAGTAGGAAATCACTAATTGATTTGTTTTTTAATTCAACCAACTTATTTCAATAAAATACATTAACATAAATATTCTTAAACTCAAGTAAAAAAAACAAATTGACCTAAAAATTCAAATACAAATACAAATTGAACTAAAATTCAAATACAAATACAAATTGAACTAAAATTCAAATACAACTACAAATTGATCTAAGATTCAAATACAAATACAAATACAAATTGAACTACCGACCAGACTTTAATTGTTCGTACAAGAGTAGTCGGGGTTTGAACATTTTGAGTAAGTGCCTCAAGTTTTTAGCTCTATGATGTACCCATGCCGGATGGATAGGTGGTAGATGACTATTCGCCACCAAATTAACAAACATGAAATGATTGTTGTGCAATGTCACAACAATCATACATGATAAGTGACCACTGCCAAACATAGGAAGGTAAGTCATACTCCCTACTTGGGTCAAAAGTACCACTAATGCACTGTATTTGGTAGCAATGCCCAATCCCTTTTTATTCATGTCCATCCAATAAGCTTGTGGAAAAGACCCTGAGGTCCTGTCACACTTGCGTATGACCTCAACGTATCCAGTACTGCCAAACATCGCCGTGTACACATTAGCATGCTCGTATAAACAATAAGCAACTCCCCTCTCACTTGCGGCCATCTTTCTTGATCCCCTTACACGGCTTGAGCAACGCACCGGTACCCACAATTGCCATCCGCCATCACGTTAACATAATATTCAATAAGACGGACCATTAATCTGGGCACGAACGAATAAAAGTCGATTCCTTCATGTGCATGTATTGTAGGGGCAGCAGATTCTTGTGTAGGAATACGAGAACCACGACCTTTCATCTTCGATTGAGGCGTTCCATCAGTGCATTAGGAATCTTTGCACCAGATGAGGTTTGGCGACCCTTGGAACCACAATACGACTTAATTGTCTCCTCATCAATATGATACTGCCATCCGGAAGGGTCTCTCTTTGTCGAGTTATTCTTTGGTTGTCATTTGGTCTTAACAAATGATGGCTCAGACATATGCGACGTAGACGGATAAACGATGCCACGCAATGAGGCCACGACATTTATCTTACTCGTGTAATTCATCTTCTTCAAATTTCAATTCGGTCATCAATCTGTCTATCCACAATCTCCTCGCGGTTTACTTGATACTCAGGTAGCTTCGAAGGCTCAACTGCCATGGTACTCCAGAATGGATGCAAGTCTGAAATGACGAACGTGTCATTATCATCCAATTTCTACACAATTTTGCACGCGCAATGGAGCCCATGAGTATTCCAAAGATAGTGTGTGCAAATACTCGGATCTTGCATCGCCGGGGACTCCATCTCCTGATCCAATTTCTCTAATGCCAGATGCGTAATATAACAAATCAAACCCTGAAAACACGGCCATGCTGCAGTATGCTTCCTTATCTTGGATGATAATAAAAAATCGCACTTCAGCTGACTAATTTGGATATAAACTTGGTCCCGTAGTTTGCCTTGCACGTTATCCAGACCTCCGGTCGAAGCATTTAACCAATCCTTCACAGAAGAATGAGCACTCTCCACCCTATCCAATTACAACAACAATCAAAGTATACAACGACAATCAAATTACAAAATAAAATATTATTTTTATATAATTTATGTTATATCATTTAAATAACTAAAACATGTAATACCTGTTGGTGCTCGTGTTGCCAAAATGATACATATTGCGGGTATAGGCTCAAACAAACTTCTCCTTGTATATCAACTACATATCATTCAAATATTGTATCAGTCTAGGATATCATGCATACCGTCCAACAATTTCATTGTAATTGTAATGTGGAGTTCAAAGCGGTGGGAGGAGCAACGACGGCCGGCACAAGGCCGTGGCGAAGCAGCGGCGCAAGGCGGCGGCGGAGCAGCGGCGCAAGACGGTGGTGGATCGGAGCAGCGCCGGCGGCAGCGCAAGGAGGTGAGGGGAGCAGCGGCGCAAGGAGGTGGGGGAGCAGCGGCGACGGCACAAGGAGGTGAAGAAAGCAACGGCGGCGATGGAGGGTTGTGGGTAGAGAGAGAGAGTTAGAGAGAGAGAAAAAAATAAAGAGACGAGAGAGAGGGAGATGAAGAGAGAGAGAGAGAGAGAGAAAGAAATTAAAAGAGTGGGGGAGGAGACGGCTGGTGATAGATAGATGTGGGAGTGGGAAAAAAAAAGGCTAGGATTTAGGGTTTTAAATTATAATTAAAAGGGTAAAATGGGTATTTCAATTTGTCTAGGGGGTCTATCAAATTAAGATTAGAATTTGAGTTTTTTACTAGGAAAGAAAAATCCATATGACCATATTTCCCCTTTCGAAAAAGGCTAAAGTATTTCTTGACAAATAAATTATTTTGCGCTGTAACTGGAAAATATTGCACTATGAATAGTAAAGCTCCTTAAATTAATTAGCAAGGTCTTTTTGAAGTGGTGAATGGTGTGAATTAAATCTTTCAACTTTCCCCTTGTTGTTATTGACTCATGTCACATTCACATCAAGTGTTCGGAAATTTCTCATGCATAATCAAAGTCAAGATCCAAGTCTAGTGAAGGCAATTTTACGCGGAAAGTTTCTTAAATTATATTCTAATACCTTTCAGTTAACCAAAAAATCATCCCATTTCTCTTCTCCTTAAAAAGAAAAAAAAGAACGTAGTAGAATTAATATATGGATTCTCGAAAATGGTTTATTCCATTGGTATTAATAATGTTATTGATTATTATAATACTGCAGCCAAAGATTTCAGCCCAGAATTATGGCTGCTTCAAAAACGAAACCTACGTAAGTAACAGCACGTTCGACAACAATCTCCGAGCCCTCCTTTCGTCACTCTCCTCAAACATGAACGACACCGGTTTCTACAGGGCCTACGTGGGCCGGATCCCGAACCGAGCCTACGCCACAGCTCTCTGCAGAACAGACGTCCAGCTCGATTCTTGTCGTTCTTGTGTTAGAGAAGCTTCGGTAGAGATTGCAAATTTGTGCGTGAATCGAAAGCAGTCAGTAATGAGGAAAGGTACATGCACTTTGCGATACTCAGACGAGCCCATATTCGGAGTTCGGGCCGACGGTTATTTCGTCATGGTGCGGCGCGGGGCTGTATACAGTCCCGACCAATACAAGCAGAATCTGACGATGCTGTCCGACGAACTTCGCGGAAAGGCAGCTGCAGGGGGGTCTCTAGTCAAGGTCCTTTTTCTTTTTCTCTAGTAATGTACCAAATGTTGAGGTGCAAACAATGTCCCACATCGGTTAAATATGGGAAAGATCTATCCTTTATAAGGAGGGGATAGTAACTCCATTGGTATGAGGCCTTTTGGGGAAACCCAAGAGCAAAACCAGTTGGGCCCGGCCCAATCTGGACAATATCATACCAATGTGGAGTTCGTGCTATCCCGGCGGGGGCCCAACACCAAACTCGTAACAAAAACAGTTTACTGCTTTTTCATGTGGTTTTACACGAAATAATAGTTAAAATTTCGTAGTGTTTTGTACGAAATTACTGGTAAACACAAATATGATGTTAATTTCGTACAAACCACCATGAAAGGACTTGAATAATTTCGTGATATTCTATACGAAACGACTGAAAATCGAAAAAATCAGACAAAAACGTAGATTTTTACCTCATTTACGAGAACGATGTTGGCCATCTTGATATTTATTGGGTTTTAACTGATTGTAACGAAAACAAATCACGATCTACAAAAGTCAGTATATTTGGAGGTTGAGAGGATTTCGAAAAAGTTTAAAGGATTTCTTGACAAATGGATTATTTCATACTATAACTCGAAAATATTGCACTATGAATAGTAAGCCCCATATCCAAATCAGTGAATTTTGTAAGGCCAGCCTTTCTTAAGGGGTGGGGACAGTGTATTCAATATTTTTTAGTTATATTTGGCCATCTATGATCTGGCATTATGCAAGTGGAAAAAAATAAATATTTAAATATGACAATTTGCTTGGAAGAAATTAGAAATAGGGGAACGAACCGAACTCGCCTCTTTTGGTAGGTTCGAGCTCGAGTTCGAGTCGATTTTGTCGAGATCGAGTTCGAGCTCGTGCCATTTTGTTGAGCCCGACCCCGACCCCAAGCTCATTTTGTTGTTGTTGTTTTTTTTTTTTTTTTTCTTTAATATTTTCTTAATTATTATATTATTATTATTAAAAATTATTTAAAAAAAAACTCACAAAATAAACAATAAATTGTAATTTTATATATATATTTTTTAATATGTTTATTTTATTTTTATTTATTTGTATAATATTTTATATTATAATACATTATTTAAATAAAAAATAGTATATAAAAAATAATAAATAAGGCTCGCGAGCCGACTCATCGAGCTCACGAGTCGCTCGGCTCGTTTACCACCCCTAATTAGAAACATGAATAAATTTGAAATTCGGGAGAGTAACCATTTAATATTCTTATTTGGCCGAAAAGGCAATATTAGAGTATATATAGGTAAAATAAAATCATAAATCCTGCATATTTGGTCATGATACTGACAAGTGACAAATATGTCCACCTTTGCCCAGCTAAATATCACATTTGATACTTCTTCTTCTTCCACCTCCAACTGCTTCCTCGACAATGGCAAATACACAAGTAACAGCACTTACAGCGACAATCTCGGCACCCTTCTTTCATCGCTCTCCTCGAACATAAACGACACCGGTTTCTACAGCGCTTCGGTTGGTCGAACCGAGGCGTCGACACAGCCTACGCCATTGCTCTCTGCCGAGCCGACATAAATCTCGACATGTGCCGTGCTTGTGTCCGAAACGCTACCGTGGATATCTTGGATTCGTGCCCGAACCTGAACAAGGCGATTCTTTGGGCGGAATTCTGCACGTTACGATACTCGAACGAACCCATATACCGGGTCACCCCCACGGGTAGTTACTTCTTCAGCAAGCTAGAGGGGACTGGAGTTTCGAACCCCGATCAGTTCAGGCAGGCACGCGGGCTGCTGATGGACGGCCTCCGCGAGGAGGCGGCTTCCGGCGGCAATCTGATGAAGGTTGCCGCCGGGAACCGTACCGTGTCGGATTTCCAGACGATATTCGCGCTGCTGCAGTGTACGCCGGATATATCTTCCGAGGAATGCGATGCTTGCTTGGTCGAGGCCGATCGACAGATCTCGGAATGTTGTGATAGTGGTGGGTCGGTGAAGATTCTAACCATCAGCTGTAATCTTCGGTACGAGATTGGACCGTTTTACAATATAAGTAGGATTCAGGAAGCACGAGCGATTATATCGCCACCGCCGCCACCGCCGCCAGTACCGACAGTACCTGCACCTGCACCTGCACCTGCAGATTCATCTGATCCACCTATGCCACTATTGGCTTCTCCTCCACCTATGCCACTATTGTCTCCTCCTCTCCCAGGTAATTAATTTCATGTTGGAAATATAAATATTAAATGATTTTCTGTTAGAGCATATCTATTGTTTTTTGACTTAATGTTGGTGATTTAGAGATTTAGCGGTAGCACTTTTATTTAAAGGGTAAATTACAATCACCCCTGAGGTATGGTCAATTTATGAAAAAATTCCTCTTGTTTGTATAATTACATTTACCCCTCAACTATCATTTTTTTCTTACACCTACACACTTATGGTGTCAAATTTAACATAATCATCTAGATTTCGTGGAATGTGCTCTAGTTTGTACTCTTTTTTTGTAAAAATATAGTTTATGATGCACATCAATCTGATATATACAAGTCAAAAAACACATCTTATGTTCATCTTGCTTCAAAATGTGGAGTTCGAATGGGATAAAGCGAGTACACAAGTGATAATATTACATATAATCTCGAAGATTCCACTAAATTTGAAACCGCCGGTGGACATGTAAGAAGATTTATAGTTGAGGGTGGTTGTAATTACCCAAATATGAGGGGGTTTTACGTAATTTGATCATACATCAGGGGTGGTTGTAATTTACCCTTATTTAAAACACAATTTCAAAAATTATAAGACAAGCTAATATTATTTCTATGAAATTTGCAGGAAACGCTTCTGACGATAATACAAACGGGGCTGTCATTATCATCATTGTTGTTTCGGTAGTTGGTGCTTGCATCGGCGTCTGTCTGAGAAAGAAAATATTTACGAAGAAGCCAGGTAAAATAATTGCCGGTAAATTCTTTGTCTATTTCCGATACGTTCAACTCGATTTCAAAGAATTTAACTAATTAATGTATTTGCATGCCCCCTTTTTACTTGTTGAATTAGACGACGATGATAACAGCTCAGAATTCCAAAAATATGATTTTGCCACAATTCGTGCTGCAACTGATAATTTCTCTATTGCTAACAAATTGGGGCAAGGAGGATTTGGTGTTGTGTACAAGGTAATTTCCTTCAAATATATTGGAACATAAAGTATAACGACTAGATAAAAAAAAAAAAAAAAATGTGATTTGTTGATTCAGGGATATTTTTTATTTTTTTTTTAAATTTATCTTAGGGAAAACTTAAAAATGACGAAGAAATAGCAGTGAAAAGGTTGTCCATGCGTTCGCAACAAGGAGATTCGCAATTCAATAATGAAGTGTTGTTAGTTGCAAAACTTCAGCACAGGAATCTGGTTAGGCTCTTAGGATTTGCGCAGGAAGGGACTGAAAGACTTCTTGTATATGAATTCGTTGAGAACGGAAGCCTAGATCGTTATATTTTTGGTAATGTTTCTATTTCGATTTTCTTTTTTTCTTTTTGTTCTTTAACTAACAAACCACCTTTGTTCATTTTTTTTCACATTTTATTAGTTGTGATCGCCACTATTATTTTTTTTTTGGAAGATTCTTATCAATAATAATATGTTGATATTGTTGGGCATGTAGATCCGACGAGACATTGTGAGATTGATTGGAAAATGCGCCAGAAAATCATAGAGGGTATTGCGAAAGGACTTGTTTATCTGCACGAGGACTCTCGTTTACGTGTTATTCACCGTGATCTAAAAGCTGCTAACATCCTACTAGATGCTGAAATGAACCCTAAAATAGCTGATTTTGGGTTGGCAAGGTTGTTTCCACGAGACGAAAGTCTATTAGGTAATACCGGTACAATTGTTGGAACCCGGTAAGTCCTTTACTTATATACGTATAGTTCAAAAAACATATCAAGTCTACAATACCTATGCCCTTCGAAAATGACGATTTCTCTGTTATATTGTCCAAATACGTATATAACGTATTTATCATATAATGCAGTGGATATATAGCGCCCGAGTATGCCAGGCGTGGTGAATTGTCTGTTAAATTGGATGTGTATAGCTTTGGTGTGCTAGTCCTGGAGATTGTTAGGGGGCGGAATAATAACTCTTTCCCAAACAAAGAGAACTCGGAGACCATGCTAAGTTTTGTAAGTAAAAAATATAGCAAATTTAAGATGTTATTTAATTTGAAGTCAACTTAGTGTTAAACATATAATTTCATATAAGCTAATTAAGGTGTAATTGGCTAAGAAGATATATATACTTGCAGGCATGGAGAAATTGGAGAGAGGGGACACCGGAAGCAATGATAGATCCGACATTAACTACGACTTGTTCGGGTTCTTATATGCGTGAAATATTAAGATGCATTCATATCGGTTTGTTGTGCGTACAAGAAAATGCAATTGAAAGACCAATAATGGCTTCGGTTGTTCAATTGCTCAACAACGTCTCTACAACTTTGTCAGAGCCATTACAACCTGCATTTTTCGTACCCAATTCAAGAGACATGGAGTTGAAAAAACGTAAAGATCAATCCATAAACGAAGCATCGATTACAGAGTTATATCCACGGTAGCTAAGACCGCTAGACATCCTTAACTGTTACTGTGTATTTTCCAATCATTTTGGAGCCCAAAAATTCATCGTTCGTCTTCAATATTGTTGTTTTATTTGTAATATATTTTTTTTTAATGAGGTAATTATTCTCTTGTGTTAATTGCAGAGACCTCGTGAAACGTCTAATTACCAGAAAAGCATTGACCCCCTATGATGGGTCCGCTCCCTATTCAAAATAATCCCGTTGACTTAGATCAAATGACTAAATTACCCATCATTAGAAATACAGAAAATACTTAAAAACACGTCATCATCTTCTTCATCTCTCACCACAACCTCCGCCATTGCCACTGCAAATCGGAGACGCCCACCAGCTCATTTCACTTCAAGAACATAGTCCTCAGCCCCGATGAAATCCCCAAGTTGCAAACCACAACACCAACCTGCAACTTACACGGTGTTTGTTGAAAAAACGAGAGTCTCCGCCATTGATTTGATCTCTTCAATCACCGGCACCGATATATATACTGCAATCTCCACCATTGCCCCATGCCAACCATTAATCTTAGAAAAATTTAATTATTTACCCTCTATTTTCATTTCATCAATTCTAAGAGGAAAAAAAAAAAAAAAGAGGAACGGCAGTTGAAGAAACATGTACTCTTGAATCTCTAGATTCATACCGGTTTGAATATGGAGTTTTGACAGCAAAAAAAACCCTTTGGAAATCCCCGACAAAGGCAGATCCGAAGTTTCTATTGGCATAATGTAATTGGAGAAAAAAATGATTGGTGCACCATGCTCTGTGCTTGGTGCCGACACTGTATCTGCCGGCCGGCGGTGCCGGCGGAGATGACTCATCTGGTGGTCTCGCCGCCTGGGGAGATGGAGACGGTGATCGAAGAAAGGGGGCAGCATCACTGTTGCACTTGGTCAGGCTTTGAAAAGAAGTAGAATAGGATTTTGAAGACTTTTTTTAAATTTGCAATTGGATCCAATAATTTGGATTATTTATATTTAAGTTCAATTGGATTTTTATTTATTAAAAAAAAGTATTTCAAGGGGCATTTAAGACTTTTTACATTATAAAAACAAACACATACCGCACAAACTGCGCGTGCAATACACGATTTGCTGATAATGGGGCATGTGCCTTTGACTTGTTAACATAGGGGGCACATGCTAATTGTTTTTACATAGGGACTTTTCCGGCAATTAGACTTATCACAGAGGTAGCGCTTACTAAAAACTCTTATTCTCTTGTTTGTAGTCTCGTCATAACAAAATGAGCATTTTGTGTTGAAACACTATCCTAGAACCGTTGTTAATGAATAGTCTTTTTCATTATCAACTATTACTCCATATGTTCCTAATTAACTGTCGTTGTTAGCATTACAGAAGAATGTCAATAAATGTGTCTTAATTTTAGGCAAAATACATTAGAAAGACTAAAATAACTAAATGATATGATAAGAGAGTTAATACTTATAGTTGAATTAATAAGGTTAAAACATGAAAAAATGCATTTAATGCAGTATTGGAAGTCTAAAGTGACATATAATATATAATGTAGAACAACATATTTTTAAAACGAGACCGTTGTTATGAAAAGAGGGGAGTATATGGTGTTTATTTTAAAAATTGAGGATGAGTATGTACATTTGTGATGATGTTGTTTCCCAATGTGTGTTCTGTTTGCGTGTGGATTCTCGTTGCGAAGCTCTGCTGTATACATCAGATTCTACATTTTCGTCTCTCTCTTCGACGCGTACCGGGCCGGGCCGGGCCTGGGCTGCAGATCTTGATGAGGGCTCATTGTTAATGAATGAATTGAGTATTAAAAACTAAATAAACCAAGGCACTGGCCATTGGTACAAACATACTATCTACTACAAAGAAATACAAATACGGCATTCTAAAACGGGGGCGGCTATTCGAAATACCAGTTTTGCTTAGTGCGAGACCATCCAAAAGAAACTACACTACTATCATTAACGAACACAAGACCACAAACACAAATGCCAGTGACGAAAGAAAAAATGGTATTGCCAATAGCCGCCCCCTTCTAAAACACTTTTGTTCTTTAAGCAACACAATATTAAACAAACATACCACATTAGTCTACACATTGTACCCATTGCACGATGAGCAAATTTCTAGGACTATGCTCCCACTCGGTTCCATGTTACCCTTTTTCGAAGTTTACATCGGATTCATGTCCGAATATCTCTTTATCAATTGTCGCGCTCGAAAAAATTTGACCACATACAACACCGAATCCCATCCCCGACAACTCATTTCAAAAATCCAAAGCTTCACCGGGATTCCAATTCTTGCATATCCGCATATTCATAAAGCCTCTCGTTAAACACAACTTGCGGATCCTTATCAACAAGCTCTCCATCTCCACCGTAACCATCTTTCAAAAACACGCACCAATTCATCTCCGTACCGGCAAGATAAAAAGTCCGCGCTTGCTTCAGAAGCATCTGGTAAGTATGCTTCGTCAAACTAAACTCCTCCTTGAATTCCACAATGTTATGTATGTACGCCCTCTTCTCCAACGTCAAGCTCAAAAACTCGTGCACGACGCCCAACCTATACTTCTCCGCCTCCAAAGTCCACATATCCAACTTGCTCCCATCCGAATACGGCGAAACCAAAGGCAACGTGTTCAAAAGGTTCAACTTCCGTTCGTCCTCGAAATCCAACTCCAATAACTTGCCGTGTTTGACCGGGAATTTGAAAGCCCGTTTAACTTTATCCTCGTCCACTAAAAACTCCCTCTCCAAAGCACTCACCGCCAACGAACTATCCCAATCAACTAATTCAAGAATTCGTTTTCCGTCTTCTTCAACCACTACTCTAAAATAATCGGGGTATTTTACGACTCTATCTCTAAAATCTTCCGGTATGCCGAACAAGAGCCTGTTATGATAAATCTTGCTTAACGGTATTCTCTTATTCGCCGACATCATCAATAGTTTTCGGACAACATCCACCCTCTGCCGCTCCAAGCGGTTCGCGATCTCCGATTCGGTGAGCAACAATTGGTCCATGAAGTCGGTGAACCCGACCCATATTTTGTTGTCGGAGTGGCGGTAGGTCTGGAGAATGAGAGGGTGGCGGAGGATGGATTTGAGGACTTTGCGGCCGCGGGGGAAGCCGAGCGGCTGGTGGAGCTTGCCGGCGTCGTCGAGGCGGAGGATTTGTTGGGGCTGTTTGGAGAGGTATTCTTTGGTTTTGGTTAGGAATCTGAAATGGGCATCTCTGGTTAGGATCGATTCGAAGTGGGAGATTAGGTTTGGTTCGGTTTGAACCAATTTGGTTCGTGGGCTTTCCTTTTTCTTGCGTTTTTTCTTGAATTTTTTGGGGGTTTTTGTGATGAGGAAGGAGGTGGAGAATTGGTGGGAGAATTGGGTGAATAGTAGATGGTGGGATTTTGACGGGGTTGAAACGGTTCGGGAGAGGAGGTGGTGGAGAAGGCCCATGACGGTGGTTGGGGAGTGGTGGCGCCGCCGTTGATTCTGCGGTGATCCATTAATATCGATTACAGACTAAATTTTTCATTTTTCCCACACCAAATCAATAGCAAGAAGATGAATAAAAAAGCTGAATTTGAGGATTGACTGATTATTCAAGAATCTGTGTGGAGTTGCTGGTCGGCGGGTGGTAGTGGTGATTGTGGACTGAGAATTAGGGTATCAGATTCAGCCCTTTTGTCAATTATTCTTATTTGATTTTCGGTAAAATTAATTATTCGTGTTACAATCATATCACTCGCAACTTTAAATTGAATAAAAGATTATCACAATTTTTCAGTCAAATTGTTAAAAATGTAATTTATTAAATAGGAGTTTGTTTACATTTTTAGCCTTGATGATTGTTTGAAGTAGATTTTGGGACGGGATTTAGGAACTTGGGGTAGAAGTTTTAAATCCTCTCAAACTTGAGCTAATTGCATATAACCCCTGTGTAATTTCGAATGCCTAAAAATCTCGTGTTAAGAAAATTAGTCCCTATATAATCTTTTACTAAAATTCTATTCATAGTGTAACTTTTATCGCCTTGCAGTGCAATTTATTTCATTTGTAATTTTTCTTAAAAAAACTCAAATTCGCCCGCTATTTCGTGTGTTATATCACGAAATTCACTCAAGAATTTCGTGCATTTTTACACGAAATGTACGTGTTTATTATTATAGAACATGAAAGACGAAATTGTTGGACTGAAAACATTGTACTCTTTCGTGACATAAAACACGAAATTACACATTATATTTTGTGGAGTTTTCCACGAAATTACACCTTATAATTCGTGGATTTTTCCACCAAATATAAGGTAATGTTTCGTAAAATTTAGTACAAAATCACTAATTGATTTGTTTTTTAATTTAACAAATTTATTTCAGACACTAAAATAAATAAAATACATTAACATAAATATTCTTAAAATCAAGTAAAAAAAACAAATTGACCTAAAAAATTTAAATACAAATACAAATTGATCTAAAATTCAAATACAACTACAAATCGATCTAAATTCAAATACAAATACAAATTGAACTAAAATTCAAATACAACTACAAATTGATCTAAAATTCAAATACAAATATAAGTTGAACTAAAATTCAAATACAACTACAAATTGAACTACCGACCAAACTTTAATTGTTCGTACAAGAGTAGTCGGGGTTTGAACATTTTGAGTAAGTGCCTCAGGTTTTTAGCTCTATGATGTATCTATGCCGGATGGATAGGTGGTAGATGACTATTCGTGACCAAATTAACAAACATGAAATGATTGTTGTGCAATGTCACAACAATCGTACATGATAAGTGACCACTGCCAAACATAGAAAGGTAAGTCATACTCCCTACTGGGGTCAAAAGTACCACTAATGCACTGTATTTGGTTGCAATGCCCAATCCCATTTCATTCATGTCCATCCAATAAGCTTGTGGACAAAGCCCTGAGGTCCAGTCACACTTGTGTATGACCTCAACATATCAAGTACTGCCAAACATCGCCGTGTACACATTAGCATGCTCGTATAACTCAATAAGAAACTCCCCTATCACTTGCGGCCATCTTTCTTGATCCCCGTACACGGCTTGAGTAACGCACCGGTACCCACGGTTGCCATCAACCATCACGTTAACATAATATTGAATAAGACGGACCATAAATCTGGGCACGAAAGAATAAAAGTCGATTCCTTCATGTGCAGGTATTGTAGGGACATCAGATTTTTATGTGGGAATACGAGAACCACAACCTTTCTCTAATGCCAGATGCGTAACATAACAAATCAAACCCTGAAAACACGGCCATGCTGTAGTATGCTTCCTTATCTTTGATGATAATGAAAAATCGCACTTCAGCTGACTAATTTGGATATAAACTTGGTCCCGAAGTTTGCCTTGCACGTTATCCAGACCTCCGGTCGAAGCATTTAACCAACCCTTCGCAGAAGAATGAACACTCTCCACCCTATCCGATTACAACAACAATCAAAGTATACAACGACAATCAAATTACAAAATAAATATTATTTTTATATGATTTATATTATATCATTTAAATAACTAAAACATGTAATACATGTTGGTGCTCGTATTGCCAAAATGATACACATTGCAAGTATAGGCTGGAACAAACTTCTCTTTGTATATCAACTACGTATCATTCAAATAATGTATCAGTCTAGGATATCCTGCAAACCGTCCAACAATTTCATTGTAATTGTAATGATACTCTTCTTCGGTTTCTGATTTCACCTGCTTAGCCCACAACACACGTCGGAATATTAGACCTTTGTCTTTATTGCCTCCCATAAATTTCGTCGCATTTGCCTCAACATTTCTGTTTATAAGGAATATACAAAACATTTGATACGAAACTGGGAAGACATTTGGCAGTGCTTTCAAAAGACCCAACTACATGTATGTCAAGATCGCATCAGGTTCGACACCATCTATCAACTCTCTCAAACAATTCAAAGTTCACTTGTAGGTGTCTGCATCTTCATGCGACATAAATGCAACAACAATCATAAAATTCCTCCCAACTGGAGTTATCTCAATTATTTTCAAAAGAGGCATTCCATACCTACAACAATGTTTTTTTTTTACATATTTAAACAATACAATACATTAAAACGCAATAATCATAATTTAAACAGTCGTAATTTTTACTTACTTATTGGTTTTGTATGTGCAGTCCATCAATATAACATACGGGAACATCCGTAGTAACTTAATAGATTTAGGACATGCAAACATAACATTTGTTATTGTTTTGCTCGTTTCACTATCGACGCGATGCCAATATTGATACTCGCCTTGTTGAAAGTTATGCATCATAAACTGAATAACAGTCAAGCCCTTGGTTTCTTCAGATTTAATCTTGGCCAACTCATTGTAAACATGCTTCATAGAGATTTGTATCGTCGGATCATCTTTCTTCAATCTATCCATGATTAGCATTGGCTTCACGTGAGAATTTCTCAATTCTTTTATTCTTGCTTTCTGTTGTGGAGTTATACGACTAGTCGTACCTTATCCGTGAGGAAACAAAGCCGGAGGATGAGTATGCATGCCATCGCTGACAGTCAATCGCCATAATTCATCAAACCTTGACTTTTTGCCAATCAATTTGAACAGACAACCATATTTTTTGTTCTTGTGTTTCTAGGATCTTCCACATCGATATTCATTTTTCGGCCATGTCCGTATTTGTGACACGTCAAGTACTGTGCATTCTCCATTCTAGACTGAAAAATCAAACGGTGACAATGACTAACTGCACTTGCTTTGGCCCACTTCATTAATTCTTCCCTACTATCGAACACAATATCAACTTGGAAGAAGTGAGAGAAATCTTCACATTCGTTTCGCTCCAAAACCTAGGGATCAAAATACAAATTTTCTTCATATGGCTGCGTAAAAAAAAAGTTAGATACTTGGACACAAAAAAAAAAATAGGGATTTCGTGTAAAAGTACACGAAATAAGTATATACATTTCTTGTAGTAATGTACGAAACGCATAACAAAAACAGTTAACTGCTTTTTCGTGTGGTTTTATACGAAAAACACGAATAAGATGTTAATTTTCTACAAAACACCACGAAACGACTTGAATAATTTCGTGATATTCTACACGAAATGATTGAAAATCGAAAAAAATCAGAAAAAACGTATTTTTTTACCTCATTTACGGATCGATGTTGGCCATCTTGATGATTGTTGGGTTTTAACTGATCTCCACGAAAACAACTCACGATTTACAAAAGTCGATATATTTGGAGGTTGAGAGGATTTTGAAAAAGGTTAAAGGGTTTCTTGACAAATGAATTATTTCGCATTGTAACTGGAAAAAATTGCACTATAGTAAACCCGAATCTTTTATAGAGTACATTGCCCCTTTCTTTTAAAATTGGCTATTGACTTACATGCAATGACTAATTTACCCTTACAAAAGAAAAATGAAAAATAAAAACAAAATGAAAAAGGAAAATACAAAAAGAGACTGCAAAAGAATGAAAAAGATGATGATAATTCTTCATTTGTTGTAGAATATAACACAAGGTGTATATAAATATATATATTAAAAGTAAATAGCTAGGCTTACGAGTTTACAAGGACATGTAATTCTTGTATAATAAATATACAGAGTGCGTGTTATAATTAAAAGCCATTATTGCTATAAAACGAATTAAAGTGTGAGAATAATGGAAAAATCGAAGCTACTGTATATAGAGATATTTAATGAAGAAAGATGATATATCATTTCTTATTGATGCATCACATATTTATACATAAAGTTACAATGCATGGTCATGACTCTATAGGATAGAAATTAACCATACATTAACACGTATTATGAGTAAAAGCCTACTCAATACTTAGCCTACAAGAGAAAGGATGATGCGGACTCCACATATTATAATACTCCGCCTTGGATAAAGTATCGTTAGTAGCGGCTTAAATCAAGATTAGTAGAATATACGCTTCGTTAAAAAAATTAAGCCCAAAAAACCCTGTGGGACAAAATCGGTCAGAAGGAAAAGATATAGCATAACTTGAATCCAAACTGTGTACATAAGCTGCATCGTTAAAAACCTTTGCTGAAAAACTCAATGGGACAAAACCAGTCAAAAGGGAAAAAGAGTGCAGCGCACCATTGTTCCCCCTGAAATGAGCAATATAGCCTCTGAGATAACTGTCAATCTTGCTTCATATTGGCTCTTCTCATTCCCATATTGTACACCGATTTTTCACATTTCCCAAATGTAGAAGTCGGCAAGGTTTTTGTAAACAGATCAGCAAGATTGTCACATGAGCGAATTTGTTGGACATCAATCTCGCCATTCTTTTGGAGTTCATGTGTATGAAAGAATTTTGGTGATATATGTTTGGTCCTATCACCTTTTATGTATCCGCCCTTTGTTTATGCTATGCAAGCAGCATTATCTTCATAAATAATAGTGGGCGTATTTGTAACTGGATTTAATTGGCAGGGATTTCGTATATGTGATATGACTGATCTTAACCAAACAATTCTCTGCCAGCCTCATAAAGTGCTATTATTTTCTGAATGATTTGAGGAGGTGGCCACTAATGTTTGCTTGGTAGATCGCCAAGATATACCTGTACCATTATAACAAAACAAGTATCCCTTGGTTAGTTTTATTTTTCGAATAGAATAATCCCTAATCCGCAGTAC